GCCCACCCAGCAGTAATGAGTACCTGACTTCGAGTTGGGGAAGTAAAGGCGGCGCGGAAAGGAACTGGCCACCCTACCACAATATGCCGAAGGCCCAGGAAGTTGTCTCACTACAAGGCAATCCCCAATGTCCGGATTGGATGCGGGAACAGCTTTTTACTACTACTCAAGTATAGAAAAGAAAAGGAGGAGAGATAAGGACAACAGATGTTGGAAAAAATAGAAGGAGCAAACCACTCCAGTGCATCCGCAGCCATCCGTCGAAGGGAAAAGAGAAGACAAAGGATGATAGAAGAACGGATCGATTACTTAGTGTATGACTTCGCCATAAGCCGTTTTGAAAAGTGACATATTACGGAACCTTACGCTGAGCAGTCAAGACGAAGCCATAGCATGGGGCAAAAGTTTCAATCTTTGAGATAATGAAAAAAATCTGTGAAACTGTGCGTTGCCGTGGCTCACCCTTCCCCACTGGTCCTTTAACAGTATTCAAAGTCAACATGTTAATAACTACAAGTCCACTTTCTCTTTTAGCAGTTCAGTGACCTTCTACTTCAAGAATATTTTGATGATTATGCTTTTGTTTGACAAGCTTTTAGTTGTCATTCCATCAGAGCTTGAGAACAAATTGATCAATCTTCAAATTTGTTACTTGCTTAAACTTAAAGCATGATATTTAAGATCTCAAACAGAGAAATGAATGGTCTAGTAACTTATCAGGACAGGAAGGAGTAAATGAAAACCATGTTTACTTTTGAATTTTTACTACTAGTGTAGGCCAATAAGTTCGAAGTGTAAATGTATAATAAGCTTATGATCAAGAACTGGCACACTTCTTTCCGACTTTTCTGGTAGAAGCCAAATCCATTGCTCGTTGAACAGGAAATAAGTTTCAGAAACTTCCTTTCATATTTGCATGTATGTGTCTATTCCAACTGACTTATTCCTCAAAGCTGAAGAAAACCCTGAGAAAGCTCATTCCTGCAATAATAAACTAATTTAATAACTGACTTATAATCTTAGATTTTAGAGGTTGGAGACTGAAGTCATAAAGTTAGCAAAACATGGTCTATAAATTTCAAGAAACAGCTTTATCAATATTTAACCTTGACCATTGGAGATTAAAAAATTATGTAGAACTGTATAACTACTGGCCTATATGGACTTATTACACACAAAGTATACACATGACAAATATTTTATTGACATTTTTATTTTTATTTCTTTCACCTTCTTTTATATGCATTCATCAACAGACACTCCATTGTCATCCCCCCAAAAATATGTGCGGGAAAAAAATATCTCTATCACAACATCAACTTCAAGCATTTCCATCTATGCAAATAAGCAGTTGAATAAATACAAACCATTCTCTCAAACACTCATCATAAAAAAGGCAGCTTATGAGCACATCTGTAACCAACAAATTCCCAAATTCATAGCAAGTAACAAAAAAAACAACTAACACCAACACAAACAGTTAGCAAAACCAGCAAACTTTCGTACATGTAGGCTAACCCTCAAACATATGAAAAATATTGCTACAAAATTTTATAAAAATCTAAATTGTTACGGATGCACCATGAATTTATAAGCAGAAGTCAATTTCACATTTTGTAATGTAATTTGAGTGTCTTAAAGTGATTTCAAGTTGCTTAAATTGATTATCTTCATGGAAATTGGCATATTGTATATTCAAAATCGAAGAGCACTGTAGCCTATTTTGAACTTTTTGAGTGCAAATCCAAACCCCGGATTTTAGTGACCCTCCCCTGTCGAGAATACAGTCTTTGAGTTGTTTAAACCCTATTCTTACAGTACACAATAAGTAAAAGTAATTGCACAGGCTAATGCCAAACATTTTTTAAAAGTAAAGTACAAACAGATGCATATATAGATTTTAAAAAGTTGAATGAAACTTATAAGATGCTATAATAATAAGGAATCATAACCTTCCATAGTTCTTTCTCTCTACACCAGGTGTACATCAGACCTACATGAGCATCAACTCCCACGCCATCAACTCCTTGCTTGTGCTGGCAGACGTGATGCTCAGCGCAGCGCCCATCCACATGCTACACTTCCACATGCCCCTCGTGTACCTAATGATCTACATCGCTTTCACTCTTATCTACTGGGCTGGCAACGGGACAAACCACCGAGGGGAGCCTTATATCTATAGCGTACTTGACTACTCCGGAAAGCCGAAGGTGGCAATAGTTGTGATAGTGTGCGTCGCTTTGATTATCGTGCCACTGACACAAGTTCTGTTGTGTGGGCTGCGGAGACTGAGGGAGAAAATTCATGCCAAGCTGAGGTTGTGGAAAGACTTGGAGAACCCCACGAGGTTGTACCAAAGGCAGTGACGATGACAACACACCAGCCCTCATCCATTTAAAAGAAAGCCGGCTTTTATAAACAATCACACACCTGAAAAACAATAAAATGATGTATTCATAAAATCAAAAATGTTAAAATTATTCCTATATATTGCTTTTGCACAAGTAGCCATACAAAGCAAAACCACAGACCTCATGTGTGTGCTTCTGTAGCTCTGTTTCACTGGCTTAAAATTCATCTACCGAAAACATCCTGACAGTAGTCCTGCCTTTCTTCTAAAACACACAAAAGACCACTAAGATTTCAGCTCTTATGTATGTGAAAGACTAGATCTAGGTGCTCAAACCCACATTTTCTAGGATCACGAGTGTTGATGAAGACAAAAAAAGATTAGAAACAAAATTATCCTCCTACTATGCATGAGCACACTAGGAACTTAACCAGACACGATTGAGCACAGATAACCCAAACAGCTCAGGGATTGATAACGACAAATGTGTTAAACAAATCCATTATTCAGGCAAATCAGGAATATAAAGAAATACTAAAGAGATATCAGTCAGGGAATTGAAAGTTGTGTAAGTATAAGCTAAACATGATTTTGAGTTTTCCTTGTTTGTGTTATCTGTGCCTGACAGTACTTTGATGTGAGAAGCAAACACTAAGCTAATGGGAACCTACAACAAAACAAGGTTTGATTTGAACACCCCCCCCCCCTCCTCCCCCCCAAAAAACAACCAAAGCCAAGCATTAGAAAATTTCAAAGGAAGGAAATTTATCATCTAGTCATTTAGAATGATTCGACCATAGTTTACACTGAATAAGTCCTGACGAGACTATAACGTGAAATAAGATTAAGGCCATGATGCAACATTATTAGAATGTCTCAATTTTCCAGAAGGTTGATGACTTTTCCCAAGATTCATCCTTAGACAATTTTATTTGGTGAAAAAACAATGTGTGGGTAAAAATTAATTCACAGCATTGATATTTAAGTTCAAGCCCATATTTGTTTTTATTGATATCATACACATACACTTTTTAATTTAAAACAAACTGGTGTCTTAATGAAAGAAGACCCATTTAAAGACAAAAATATTTGCACCAAATTTAACAAAACTTTAAACATATAAAATTCATCTAGGGCGGCATCATATTTGTCAAGGTGAAGAAAATCAACCTGCGTGTTCGACCAATAAGTTTTTAAAAATTTCAACCAAGATTGTGCAAAAACACAAAACTGTACTACCTCATAAGAAACCACAATGTGTTTTTGTGCGATGAAGACCAAATTTATTTAAAACTAACTTTTCCATAGACATGGTGTCTTAAAAAAAAGAGAGGATCCATTGAAGAATCATTACTTTCCTGTTAATTTTTTTTGGGGGGGAACACATACAGTGGAGTCCACTTATAACGAGTCCTGAAAGAACGAGAAGTCTGTTATAAAGACACTATTCTAAAACCCCGTTTTTTCCCCTTCTTTATCTTTGTAAATAAAATACTGCTATTGCACAATCAGACAGTCATGCAAGTCAGTTGTAACGGAATATTGCTACTGCTGTGCACAGCGCACAGAACAATTAAACATAATATAAAACCTCGCCAGTTGAGAAACTTGTTGGTGATCCAGCGAAACAAAGAATGGGGGAGCCCACGCGAACCAATAATGAAGGTCAAAGCGAATGAGTAGAGATGGTGTGGCAAGCGCAGACAAGCAGAACGCATCGCGTGATAGGCCAGTCTAGTCTAGATTATCTAGGCCTACCATGCCTCTCCAGGCGCGGTTTGTCCATAGAGCACGGTCGTGCAGTGCCACCCCAAATTTTTTATTGTTCTTTTACGTAAAGCACCCATAATAATAAAATAAAAGACGTCAGAAAAAAACACAAGTCAAATATTATATCAAAACAAGGTCCTTGCTGGCTCTGTAACTGTCATTTCTGTGTCTACAGTGCGGTAAAACATTTACATATACTATGCACTATACCATGCCAAAGCCTACGCGCTCTAACTAAACGTAATAGGAGATTCAACAGTGGTAACCTGACCTATAAATCGCTCTTTGGGATAACCCGAGCGATGACGACAGTCGTAGCCAGTTTGGCGGTACATTAATATTAATAAGTCGGCACATCTCAAATGTGTTCCAGCCGAATAGTGCCGAAACATAGCCCACAGCAGGCAGTCTAAAAATAGACGCCATATACTGTACACTATTCTATGCCAAAATTATGTGAGCCCCGGAGCAATCCAGCAGAGTGCTCAAGTGAATTCTGATTGGTTCATTGTCTTGCCACTAGGCTATTTTAAGCGACTCTGTGACCGTGAACCTGAGGGAGGTGAACGTGACATACTCAAGTCACTGTCCTATGATTTGTGTCTTTGAATGGTTTTGTTGTGGAGTGGTGAAAGTTATTACTTGAGTGTTCAGTTCTTATGCAGGATGTTTAGCTAACAAAGAGATTTAGTTCTCGAAATCAAAGCGACAAGTAAAAGGAAAGAAAATAAAAGAATGAGCTCCTCCCTCACCAACCCAAAGATCCTAAAACTATACACCATCCCATTTACAATGCCCTTGACTATCTTCAGCCTGTGATAGCTTAATTAATTGCGCACGCCCACTTTTTAGCCCCACGAACCGCCCCTGTGCCTCTCACTTCTCTGGTGCGGGATGGAGAGGTCACAATGCTTTGATAGATGGAGTGAATGTGTGACGTGCGTAAGCAGGCACAACGCACCACAGGGTGTGGTGGAGTGGGGGACGACACAGCGGGCGAGTTAGCCCAGAGCCAGAGCCCCTTCTATCTGAGCGGCAACGCCGAACTGTCAACATTGCTAGTGCTAGAGAAAGGAACCTGATTTGATTTTTGATCAAGTAAGACTTAGAGATAATGTTGAAAAAAATCATCATCAGGGGAAAAATACAAAAGGAATAAACAGAACCCCAAACTCATAGATTAGGCCTACTTTACTATTTCCTTTGAATTTATTACTGGATCCCTTACAACGAGAATCCTGCTATAACGGACATTTCGCACCAGTCCCCTCCCTCTTGTTATAACAGGATTCCACTGTAGTCTAAAGAAACAAACCATAAAAGCAATTGATCCAAAGAGTCAACCCAGAAACATGCCACAGGTTTATTAAAAATTTCCAGTAGCACATTTGAGTATGTCTGGTGAAAAATGGTCAACACCTGGAGCATATATAAATTAAATAGCCACCACTTTCGCTGAATTGAATTTGGCTATGTCAGTTTCAAATAAATTTAATCTTTAACGCACTTTGCTTACTTTACTTTTCCAATCCAGCCGCCATCTGGGTCCTAGCCCTTTGGCCTAATACACAAATAAACAATATGGTGGTTTTTCAAGAAATTGTTAAGTCTTTTTGTGTTTTATCTTTTAATCAATTTTGGTTGAAATTTTCTTAACTTCATAGTTCTTAAACAAATATGTCGCCTTTCTTCAGACTCACAAATTTTACGTCACCTTGATTGAACATTATTTCTTTGGAGTATTGTTGAAATTGGTGCAAAGATGACTTTAACACTTACAGTACCGAAGGCTCATATGGTGGAAAACCCTCAAGTACCGCACGGTTTTGAGCGCTGACACCGTTGTGGAATTTTTTTAATTAAAAAAGCCTTGGCAGCCCATGAAACACGCTTTAAAAATTCATAGAGGTTCATCAACCATTCAGCTACCATGTAGAGTGACTTCCATTGATATTTACTTTAGTGCAGTGCATCCATTCGCCGTCTAATTATGTTTAGTGTGTCTGGTTGTGTCGGCAACTAAAGTCCCCAGCGGAAGTGAGCGCATACTATGACCTGGCGACTGAAGTCGCCAACGCTACTGTAATAGCTAAATGGGTCCATTTTTTTAACAACCTTTGTTTCATTAAGACTTCTCTGTCCCAGTACTTTGCATTCATCGGTAACACAAATTCATCTTACTCTGTATAACATCCAGCTTGTAGATTGTAATTCGTCCAAAGAAGTCCATACTGCTGTTAAACACAATCTTCATCTTCTGTAGAGTCTGCTGGGTTGGAAGTTTAAACACCTGAATGCAGAAAGGAAACATCATCATTGACATCAAGTTTATCCCTTTCACGTAAATAATTTTTATGAAAATCAGCCAGAATATTTGTCCCATTATTATACAACATGAGTCTTAATTCAAATGAAAAACTAGACTCGTTTGAGCTTTGCTCTAAATTCTGGACAATATCAAGAAGTTTAAGAGTTTTATGGCGCTTGCAACACAAATAGGTCACAGGTCGTATAAGTGCCGAAGATTTGATGAGATACTACTAGAGAGTAACAGACAAAGACAAGAAGGGTAGATATATGATACGAAAGAAGGAACAACCACACCAAAGCACCCACCAACCACCCATATATCAAAAAGGATGTAAATGCAATCATACAATGACAGTATTGACATAGTATCATACAGTAGGTAAAGCTTAATGTGAATACCCAACAATGAAAGTTTTAACATTTAACAGCCAGTGCCATTTTTTCATCAATTTTCCTCAACAGCTAGAATTAAATCTGTACTGCCACTAGCAATTCGCATAAGTCTTTGTATCACTGACAATTTAGAATCTAAATCTGCTTTGTTGACCATGACAAAAAATCAACCATTAGCAACATTGGGGAAACAGTGAGATGAATGCAGAAAAGGCAAGTAGAGGGACTTGATTACCAATTTTGATTTGCAAAGTGACACGGATTCTAGGTCCACAGTTGTCGGTGATACAACACGATGTCTCTCAAAAAAGACATCTTCAAGTGTCAAATTCTATCAAAAAAAGGAAGAATTACCATTTTTAGTTTTAATTTGACCAATTTTATGGACGTGGATTTGGAGGCCTGAGCAGAAATGTGTATTTAATAGGTGAAAACAATATGCTCTGTGCTGTTCTGACGGAAGGGGGTAGACAGAGACGACATGGAGTGTGTTGTTTCGGCCGATAGGAGTCAAGTATGTCTTCATACGACAATTTGCTTTATCATTATTTCAAGGGCTACCCCAATCAGTGGCAGGTAAGCTTTCATTACTTACTAAACGTCACATTTACATATCGCTGGTGGAGTGATGAAACCTCGTAACCCT